GTGTGTGTGTGTGTGTGTGTGTGTGTGTGTGTGTGTGTGTGTGTGTGTGTGTGTGTGCGTCTGTGGTGTGTTGGCGGGAGAAGGTGGGTGGGGGGAGTGGATAGATTGAGGCAGGGAGCGAGAGGGAGGAGAGAAAGAGCCGGATGGATTTTTCTCTCATTAGAAGCCATGTCTCCTGGTGTGGCCTGGCCCGGCTGATAATGATGAGTCCTCATCTCCTGCGAGGGAGAAAAGGAGGCCGAGGGAAGGAAGAGGTGGAATGAGGCGAGCGGTTGAGGGCAGGAGGTGGAGGTGGAGGGCAGGCAGAGACGGAGGGATGAAGGCATGATTACTGTGGTGGCGGGGAGGTGTAAAAACACTGCGGACTAGTTGTGTGATGTTGCTTTTTTTGTTATTTGTGCAAAAATAAAAATAAAGTTGGCTCGATTTATTTATACAGATATTCTAACTTTTCAGGATAAAAAAACTGTTATTTAGCAGAAACTGAATGTTCTCGCATTTGCTCTAAACTTGAGTTCCTCAGTCTGACAGGTGGATTTTGAACATCGTGTGCATWTTTTGTCTCTTTCTTTACATGCAGACATAAACACTTTTTCAGCATTTAAGGTGAATTAGGCGAGTAGTTTTTCAAAGGTATTATTACGTTTTTTTTCTGAGCTTTCTGCATTCTTAACTGTTTTATACAGTATATCTCTACAAGACAATAGTTTTTAATTGACAACTTTTTTTATTTTCATTGAGACTTGTAACACTTGCAGCTAAGATAGTGAGAGTGTAACAGWCCCTCCAGGAAGTCGTAATGTTACGACTGCAACTAACAACTCCAAGTTGCCCCGAACCCCACGCAGCCTGACAGAGCTCTTTTGTTAAGAACATGGAGTCAGTTATCAGTGTAACTAACTAATCCTCACAAACTCTGATTTCAGCCCAAAAGGCTTGTGCTGAACACTATGAATGTGGTCAATACATTACATATTTTTATTTCTTTGGTATGACTCAGTAGAAATTTGAACTTACTTGGCCATTTTTTAAATTAAATTCATTTAATTTGACCATGACTGAACGTATTCAAGGGGTTGAACACTGTATAGAAGCAGTATGTAACTTTGTTTTTGACTGTGTTGTATAAAGTAACACAAAGTGATACTTGAGTAAAAGTACAAGTATCTTGTTATAAAATTGCTTTGGTAAAAGTTAAAGTCTCCTCTAAGAATATTACTTGAGTAAATGTCTTAAAGTACCTGACTTATTTTGTACTTAAGAATCAAAAGTAAATTTCTGACATAAAATGTACTAAATTTATGTATGTAATGTAGTATTAAAAGTAAAAGTACTGAGTAAAAATGAGAAGCTAGATTTTCCAAATACATTTTTTAAAAGGTGTGCAGCTGTGATGGATTGTGTACAAACTAATATGTGTCATAATGGTATATATTTATACTTCTCATTCAACCACAATTAAATTCAAAGGCGCAGTTTATCAGGACAGATTTTTTTTAACAATAACGAGCCGGAATAAAATAGGAGTAATGACTTTCTACTTCATACATTTTTTTTAAATGTAGGGAGTAGAAAGTAAAGATAATTTTGTGAAAATGTAAGAAGTAGAAGTAAAAAGTTGGCTGAAATTAATTTACTCAATAAAGTACAGATAACCAAAATTTCTACTTAAGTACAGTAACAAAGTATTAGTACTTAGTTACTTTACAACTCTGGTTTTTGTCTATACTTTCTTTTGTTTTCAGCTTTAAATTTTTCATCACATGTTCTTCCTTTGTACTCTTTTTTTTTTTCACAGATCTGTTGCGCACTCGTCAGGAGGCGCTGGTCGCAGCAGTCAGGAATCCAGCAGCATTAGAAGCTCACCTGCCCTCAGCAGGCAGCTCTTCATCATCCAGCCAGAGACGCAAGCAAGGCCTGCCGCAGCACCGGGACGCACATTACAGTGACAGGTAAACAAAACTGTAGCTGCTGCTGAAACGGYATGCGTTTCCTGCTTGCAATACCAGCATTATTCATCATTTGAAAACAAACAAAACAAAATAAAACACCTTCCTCCTTTCAAAGAGCTGAAAGAGTTAATCACCTGTCGGTTTGAATCAGTACACATTCCCAGTTTTTGTGTTTTTCTCTTCAGTTTTCACTTCCTGAGCACTGTTTTAACTCCTYCACTGCACTGCGCCGTCCTCGTGTGAACATGTACATTTCCACATACATGTATCTCGTAAGGATCCAATAACCTCCTGGCTACCACTGTGGAGCTGCACGCCTGCACGCCAGCTCTTCCTCCCCCCACCCCCAACGCTGGCCCCTGCGCCTCCCAAACAAAGCCAGGGGCAGCGGGAGTGGGCGGGTAATTGCTTGTCGATTATTTATGTGGCGCGGGGAGAGGCGAGGGATCGATAATGGGCCGGCGGTGCGGCAGCAGGGGGTGTGTTTGTGTGTGTGTGTGTATGTGTGTGGGAGAGAGAGATTGGTGAGGGGTAGGAGGGGGAAATAAGCAGGAAGCAGAGCGGTCAGGCGCTGTGTGGTGCAGCTCTGGGAGACAGTGGGGGTGTATATATTTTCGTGTGTTAAGGCGAGGCGGGGGGAGCTTAGTGTTTGTTTGTTCCATTTTTCAAGCTGGCGGTCTCCACGCGTGCTCATCTGTGCGTACTAAATCTGGGCTTGTTTGTGTGAATATGTCTGCTAATTTGTGTGTGTGTGTGTGTGTGAGGCCAGTGGTGCAGTGTGAATGTACTCTGTGAGCTGCGGCTGTTCTCTGACAGAACACTGAGTAATTAGCCACACAGGACCGAGGAGAGTTAACCAGGCCTCACCATTCATCCATCCGTTTTTATCTAACTCCATCCTCTCACTTCCTGRAGGCTCTCTTTAACCCCCTCCCGCTTAATGTGGTTTGGAGTGCCTTTTTGCCAAAGATACACAAATGAGGCAAAATGTTGTTAAACAACCGTTCATATGTGCAAACTAATAAACATTAAAGCTGATGAAAAGTTTGTTTAAAGTGGCCTTCATAGACAGCTGATGATGACCTAAAAATTAGGACWGGAAGAATCTGAGCTGAAGTATCATCTTTATCTAACATTAGTTAACTTTTGTCTCTGCTTCATCTTCTGATAAATAAAAATAAATTTCCTGGGATGGACTAATATTCATCTCAGTCTCAGGTCCATGCCAAACGTGAAATACTTGAGTTTTTGCAGGGTTGTGTCCCCCTGATTATATATGTGTTGTCTCTGTTAATAGTCCTGCCTGCTACATTTAACAAGTTAACTTTTGTGTTACCTACATCATCTCAAGTTTACAATTAAGATCATAGGACCAAGATAATGGTAGAAAGTTTATTGTTTATTTGTTATGAAGAACATAATTTCACATTTCTTGTTTATTGCAAGATACAATGCCAAKGGGTGAGCAAWMCTGTTCCTCGAGGGYCATTATCCTGCATGTTTTACTTGTTTCTCTGCTCCAACACACCTGCTTCACTGACTGAATTACCTCTTCAAGTTCTGCAGGAGCCTGTTAATCTACCATTCATTCAAATCAGGTTTTCATTTGTTTTGCATCCTTAAACCTGACGATGACAGAATGCTGTGCAGTTTATGCTTAAAACAAACAGGAAAGTGGACATTTGGTGGAGAAACTGAAGTTCCAGGTTCTTAAAAAAAGCTATATCAGATCATATTAAAAAATACAAAAAGAACTGAGAGATTAGTTATCCTTCAGTTGATCAATTACTGTGTGTCAAGTTCTTCTGATGTTTTTTGTCAACAGTAGTTCATCTTTTGAGTTTAGCAGCCTTCTTATGCCTGATTAATTCAGAGGTAACTGACTTAAACATTTATTTGAAAATGATCAGATACTGGATATTAATGAGTAAGAAAGCTATTGAAGATTTTAAAAAAAGCTCAAAACCACTTAGAATAAAAAATATAAAGAAATGAGGGATGACTTGAGACTTTTGCTCAGTAATGTAAATTAATTTAATATAAGAATTGGCAAAGATGGGAGAAGAAACCTTGGCTGCATTAACCAGCACAAAGGTTTCAGATTGAGCATTTCACTTCCTCTTGAAGGAAATCTGAATGACACAGCATAACATATTCTTTAAGCAGAAGTTTGAGTTGCCATTGTAGCAGCAGTTTAGAGAAGCCACCCTCATGTTTTAGCATGATAATGCCCTTGTGTGGGGTCTCTAACGAAATATTTTCCTCAACTACGTCCTAAAAAAGGCCAGCTTCAAATTGTGGTGAAAAGCATTTCTCAGAGTTGTTGAAGGCTGCTGGAGCGGCACGTTAGAGCCACTATATTAACAATGAAACAGTGGTGTGAAGTCCATATCTACCTGTGTGTAGGAGCATGTGCATCTAAAGACAAGAGTGCAGCAGCCTTTCAAAATAATGTGTATTTTTCGTGAAGAAAAAATGTGACCCATCACATCGAAACGAGGATTAAGTCTAAAAGTGGGATAAGGAGAAATAGGCAAATATAGTGTTTTGATTTAAACGCCTGCAAAAATTGCATTTTGTCAAAACATAATGAATAAATGCCTTATCAATGTATCATTTGAATGAACTGTCTAAAATACTGAAACAAAATTTTGAAGCACTTTTTTGAGCAGTAGCAACAAAAACACCTGATTTTGAGGAAAAACGCCTTAAAATTTTGAGATTTTTCCTGTAAGCTAGAAATATTTTTGTTTCTTTTCAGCTGGGAAATCACATTATTAAAAATATAATCTGAGGTTTCATCTTTATAAGGACATCAAAAATTCTTCGTTAAAATTACATAAAATTAGGCTTGAGACCAAATATTTATGTATTATCATAACCAACAAGACAAATTAAGTCATATTTATGGATTTACTTATATCAGAACGATCCAGGTATCAAAATATAGCATTTAAAACCAGGAATCTGAAAATGTAATGAGGTAATTTTGACCAAATTTAACTTGATTTTCATTTCAGTATGATGGGTCACAAATGGCAAGTTGAATAAGTTAAGTGTGGAGAAAGAATGAAAATGACAAAAAGTAGCAAGCAAAACTAAAAAAACAAAAACAAAACAAAAAAACAGCAATAAAATAAACTAAAAGGAAGCGAGTTAGAGATGGAAGCTCTCTCCGTTCTCCCTCTCCAACTCTCTCCACGGCTCACCTTTCCATCGACCCCTCATCATTGATTATCTGGGGCCCATTAGGGCCCATTGTTAAAAACAAATCATTAGGGCTGCTCGATAGGCTTAGAGCCTGGCGCTCCATTTGTCTGGCCTTAAATGGCACTAAGCTCACCAAACATGTGCAAGGCAAATGGGGGGTGGGGGGGTCACAAAGAAGTAAAGAGAAAGGTAGAAACTGAGGAAGTGGAAAACGTGGAGGCTTAAAACAGTGATGAAGAAAGTGAAGGAGAAGACGGAGCGAGGTGACGGAGAAAGATGAACCAACGCTTGGAGTAAGGAGATGGAAAAAGTGTGAGATAAGGGGGGGGGGGCAGGGAGTGACTGAGATAGAGGGAGGGAGGGTGCAAGCGTGGAGGGAGCCTCATCCATTTTAATGAGCTTCCTGTGTAAATGTGTTCCTGCGGAGAGGGAGCCGAAGGCGGC